TAACTTTAAAAATTCTTTGCAGGTGTGTGTGAGGGGCTGCCCCTTCTCGCCATCTAACCCCCGCCCCCCTTCTCTGGGGTTCTGCTTCTGCACCCCAGCAAAGAATTTTTAAAGTTAATACCTTTGGGTCCCCGTTACCAGGTGGCGTTTTGTTATGGCAAATAGTTATTCAACATTTGTTGCTTTTATTATGCAAATTTTAAAATGAAGCCGTGTGATTCTGTCTTGAATACTTCTAGGAAACAAAGGCCTAAATTTTCACTTTGCAGTCTTGAGAATTTCCTTTTAACCAGCGTTTTACTGAAAAGCTTATCTTTTTCTGCTCAGTCACATGACAAGGGCTTCCCTGTTTCTCCATACCCTGTATGGTTTTGGCACTTCTTCCTCCAGCACAGAGCAACAACTAGAGCAGCTCATACCTTGCAGGCAGCTCGGCACCGAGGCCAAATAGGTGGTTCCTTAGGTCAGAAAATTTCCAGATGATGAAACAGTCAGGCTTGCTCTGCCTGTACTGGAAACCCAGGAGAGCAGGTGAAGATGGGTGACGAGCAGCTGCAGCTTGCCCTCTCCAGGAGCAGCAGCCTCCCCACTTTCCCACCCTCTTGCTGGTAGTGGCAGGAAAAAGCTCAGCCACTTGTGCCTTCCCCGTGATTCTTCAGGGGCAGAAGCTTCTCTTTGTGGCTGAGAAGTTGTTTTGCTCCAATTCCTGTGCTGGCTGAGGCTGGTTACCCTCAGTTTGCCATGGTTGTCACCAAGGAATGACCTGCCTAACAGAGTGCTCATGGCAGTGAGCAATCCCAGAAAGGAATGAGGTGCCCAGGGGGTGATTCATAGGCAGGAGATGGTTCCCTAGAAATCAAATCCCTTTGCTACCTGAAGCACGCTCCTGGGGCTTTAGACAACAGCCGTGTCCGCAGCGCTGGTTGATTCTTCCACAGCCTGTGACGTTGGGTCACAGGCAGCTGCTGTGGCAGCACAGCCCCGTTGGCAAGGTGTCCCGGCAGAGAAGCCGTGTTCACGCTGCTCATCCACAGACAACTTGAGGTTCTAACAAACCGTCAACATACGCTCGTTTTTACAGAGATGGTTCATGTTGCTTCCTACCTCGACCATAAATCTGGATTATTTCTTGCTTCTGTTGTAAATGGAAGGCTGGAACTGTACATGCCAGCCCTTTCCTCTTTTTGCCTGCTGAATCAGAAGTAAATAATCAATTGAAGAGTAAAGTAGCTCACAGTGGTAAAGAAAGCAGTTTTGGGGAAAAAGCTTTCTTGTCCTCTAAGCTTGCAAAATATTTCATTTTGGCTGAAAGTTTCTTGCATGTCACTTACTTCTAAAGTTTTAGTCAAGCCCTTAGCCAGTTCTTGTTTAATTACAATTAAATTCTCATTCAGGTTGGCCTGAGTTTTAGCCTCTGCTGATGTCTCACTTTCCAAAAGCGATTCTGAATCCATGTCATCATCTGTTTTTTATGCCAGCTCTACTCCATTCAGCTCCAGTGGATTTGCTCATCTCCCTTTTCAAGTGTAACTTTATTAATAAAGCACTTATTCTACTGCAAGATCACACACTGTTCTGCTGTCATCTGATTCTGATCCTGGCTGATGTTGCCTATAATCTAACTCCAGGAACAAAAGGGAACAATTATGAAGGGCATATTTAAATTCTGAGATGAAAATGCTTGTCAGTCTTCTATCATAAGGTGGATCACTGAAAAAATGCATTATGAAGAACCAAGTGAAAATACATAATGGTTACGCTAAAAACAAACAGGAGAGAGAGGGAAAAGTTCAGATTATAGGACAGGAATATGCTTTTTGTTAACATGTATGTATATAAGATTTAGCTATAGCCCACATTGTGATTCCAGCTCCTGAGACTTACACTAATAGTAATGCACAAAACGTTTGCATTATTCTAGAAGGATTTTTTCATTACTGTGATCCTAAAATGTTCTGGCAATGTGCTGGGTTTGTGTGACGTGGGTTTTTGGTACCGGGAATGGGGCTACAGTGGTGGCCCTTGTGAGAAGCTGTTCGAAGCTCCCCTGGCTCCAATTTGGACCCACCTCTGGCCAAGGCAATTAGCAATGGTGGCTGCACCTCTGCGATAACGTATTTAAGAAGGGGAACCTGAGAAGAGTGGTAGGAGTTGTGAGGAGGATGGCCGTGCGAACACTGAGGCCAGTGGAAGGAAGGAGAAGGGAGGGAGATGCGCTGGGAGATACAGGTACCCTGTATCCCGTGGTGAGACAGCAGGCCCCCCCCGCCACCCATGGGGGTCACCGCTGGAGCAGACGCCGACCTGCGGAGGACTCAAACACGCAGGGGTAACTCACGCTGAAGCAACATGGGATTGGCTGCAGCCTGTGGAAAGGACTCATGCCAGAGAAAGTTCATGGAGGACTGTCTCCAGTGAGAGGGACCCCACGCTGCAGCAGGGGACAATGCCAGGAATCCTCTCCCTGAGGAGGAAGGAGTGGCAGGACTGACCGCACCCCCCATTCCCTGCCCCCTGTGCTGCTAGAGGGAGGAGGTAGAGATATGGGGAACAAAACTGAACCGGGAAGAAGGGAGGGGTGGGAAAAGGTGTTTTTAAGATGTGGTAATGCTTTTCACTGTCCCATTCTGTCTGTTTAGTAGTAGTGTTGTTAAGAGTTTGAATTAAAGTGATCTTTTATTTCTTCCCCTAATGAGGAGTCTGTCTTTTGCTTGTGACCATAATGCATGGGACATCCCTCTCTGTCCTTATCTCGATTCCTTGAGCCTTTTGCTTTATTTTCTCTTTCCCAACCTTGAAGGGGAAAGGGGTGAGTGAATGGCTGTGTGGTGCTCAGCTGCCCTCTGGGCTCAAACCATGACAGGCAATTACACTCCAAATAAAAATGGCAATCACTGATACAAATACCTATTTTTAAAAAGTCTAATCAAGTTTACATTTTAAATGGAAAACTACAAGCTCTCTTCACCATTTCCCCCCCATAATTCTTAGGCCTTCATTGTCCTCTACAATAACTTTATGGTAGCTTCCTGAAGTACAATTATTATTTGACAGTACATTTCAGCTGTCACTGTTTATGAGTTAGACTACAAAGTTGATTTGCATCTTTGGGAGCCTCTCTACTAAATGGATGATGGTTCACACACAGAAAACAGCTAGAGATGGCCTAAAGGATACACTAACATGACATAATTATATGTACTTCAAGGATGACTTATGGAGTTTTTTTGAGAAATATTAATATAGTGTTACCTTTAATGCAGTAGTGAGTATACAGGATTCACAATTTGGGGAAAAAATGTACCTTGGGGGGAAAAATGGGCCCAGATCAGGCCCATTTCCTAAAGTGAAAGGTTATAAACAGCTGGTTAAGGGATCAGGAAGAGAGAGAAAAAGGAGTGGCAGTAAGGCAAGTATAAGGTTGCATCTATTCTTATCTATGTACACAGATTAGAGGGTTCATCCATTAAGTAAGAAGGCAGCAGGCACACTGATCACAAAGTATATTGATTCTCTAGACATTACTATTAAATAGTTTAAACATACTACAAGAGAAGAAATTCTTAACACATATTTGAAACAGACAGAACAACAGCTATGCGAATTAATGTCAGGACAGTCTAGAGATAGTGAAGGGTGTGGGAAAGGAATAAAGACAACACTGCAGCAGCAATCTAGTTTTGCTTTTTTGGATTTTGAAAAATAATACAGAATACGGTCAGTTTTTACTCCTGCAATCCTATGCTTTTATCTATCCCTTGAAATGATGCTGAGAATATTATTGCCCACAAATATAAGGCCCATGTAAACACTAAGGTTTGATTTTCATATGTCACTGAGGAGAAACAAGATATTACATTCTGGTACAGTTTTTACCACACATCTTGGATAAGGGGAAAAAAAAAAATCACATAATATTGTGAGACACATGTTCATGAAAGATGACCAAATACACGAGGCCTTCAGGCAATAGGAACTAAGAACGTTATTAATAGTTGAGAGTTCCTGTCAACAGAGGGTATGTTTATAATGGAGACAGATTTCTTAATAAAATTTTGTGACCTCCACAAGCAAATCTTCCTGTGATTATACCATTGACAGATTTCCCTTTCTCTCCCTATAAGCTCTAAATACCATATAAATTATATTTGCAAAGACATTACAGCTGTTCACTGCACATCTGTGAAAATAAAGGATTAATCACTGAGCAAATAGTACAGTAATAAATGGCAGCAAATAGCTGCAGTATGTTTGTTATGTGAAGTCCATTTCAGACCATCTGCTTTTGATCCTTGCAAGAGGAAATCTTGATGAGAAAATACCCACAGAAACAGATGAGGTGATTCTGCTTTAGAAAACACTTCTAGCAACAGTATTATTGATGCTGCACAATATACAGTCAATCTGTTCACTCAAAAGCTTACTTACCAAGTATTTCAGGTTTGGTTGGTTTTTTTTTTTGCCTGTCTTCATTCAATATTGTATAATATAGCAAGACTTTTGTCCATGGGATGGATTGCATAATTAAATAAATGCATCATTCATTTAATGCAGCCTCTTCTGAATTCTCTGTGGGGATACAGCCTTCTATCCACTTCAACAGTTGCCTAATATTCTCAAATTTAAATTAACTCTCAGCTGAACACCAATATTTTCCAGACCAATAAGAAAAGAAAAAATATTTCCAAAGTATGTTTTACAAGACTCTGAAATAAGGGACTGCAAACTAGTCAACATTAGAAAAGTTTTTTATATGCAACTGATTCACTGGCTGACATGATGCCACCTGCAAAAAGTTTTGTCTACCTACATAGGTCTAGACCACTAACCCTCTGATGTATCAGTATCCTTTTTTCTGTTAGAGCAACAGATTTAAATGTCGAATTTTCCTCCACGTAATCCATAGAGAAAAAAAGTTTGAAAACCAGAGAGAAGCC